TGAAAATATTCGAATCGGTTAATCGCTTTGTGACTAGTTCGATTCAAGTTGGGTCTCAGAATTAAGACTTTAAACTACCTCCCAGAGACAATATTGGAGAAGATCGAACAAATGCTCTCACCCTCCACCTGCTCAGTTATCTGACACCAATCGAACTACCATTATTTGGTAAACTAATGTTGCAAGAATTAAAAACTGCTCTCACGCTGTGATGACTTTTCCTCGAAAAGGTTAATGATGGTTAATTATCCGGCATTGCAGCAATAGATGATATAATTAATATGTATAATGAGGGAGACGTTAATGATACCTATTGATTATAAAACATCCTTTACCTTGACTTTGTTAGTGCAAGCAGCCAAAAATTACAGGATTTTGTCTTAAAGATGGATTATTGACCTGGAAATTCTGGTCAGTCAACTTTCCCCAACATGTTCTGAAAACTAATAAAACATTTGCTATTCTAATGAAAAAACTAATAACATCTAGAGTTAAAAGTGCAAGCTGGCATGTTTAATTGTTTATCTTCAACTAACAGCAGGTTGGCTTTGGCTTAATTCGAAATTATTTCTTTCTACTTAACTTCTTTTGCCATTCACGACAATTAGAGGATATTTATTATTTTATTATTTTCTATTACCAGTTTTTGAGTTATGGTCGCTGTTTTTTACCGAGTGTTTAATCACTTCCGAGTTTAGTAAATTTTGTAGAAATTGATTATTTATTTTACAACAAATTCAAGCTTAAATAACGAAATAAAAAATAAACATTGCTATCGTTTCTAACAATATTATAGTTTTCCGTTTATCATATTCAGTTATGATGTTGTTAGAAAAAAAAACACGTTTTAAGTCATTTTTTTTGTTAAGGTAACAAAAAACACGTTGTCCACTTTCATATCTTACAAAAAAAAATACTTATATTAATCATTTTTTAGGTATTAAATTGGGTCTTTATTAAATTTTTGAGAGATCATATTTTCAAAGAACTGAAATTATAAAAAGATCAAAAGTTGACTTTTTTTATATAAAAAAACAAAAGTGAATATCGTAATTTTTATTAGAGATCCAAAAACACTTTATTCTTCTTTTCTCTATATTAAAGAGATGGGTTGACTGCTTTGCAGTCTTCGTCACTTTACTTATATTGAAAAATGACCAGTGGGGATAAAATTTATAATGTTATAAACTTGTTGGGGGTCAAAGGATGCAGGAATAGGACTGCCGCACCAATGGTTAATTTCTAGGCACCTAATATGAAAGGTGATGTTTTGTAGTTAGCTCTAGACTTGACCTCAAATGCACAAATTTTTAGCTACTGAACAAAAGAAAGAAACGTGTTCACATGTGTGGTGGGAACACAAGACGGAAAACTATATTTTATAGTTTCGCATATTGATGTTAGTACGTACAGATAATAATCTCTTGAGGAATTAAATAAAAGGATGTCGATATGATCCAATCTGCTAAATGTTTGAGCAAACTCTCATCAATCTGTTACTAAATTTAAGGTGGAATTTATTAATTTGTCCATCCGCACTTCACTTACTTTTGTATGTTATTATTGGGTTTCAACACTGTTAAAAAAATTTATCAATTGTTTCAAGTTGCTATAATTACTGAGAAAACAAAGCATGAGTTTTACAAAGTAAATTGTTATAAAACAAAGATTGGTTAAGTGGAAATGGAATAAAGCTACCCTCTTGATACATTTTATAAGTCATATTCTAAGTTTATCGTTTTATAAGTAAGTTTAATATGTAGCAGTTTAACCCCAAATCTCAATTGCCAAATGGTAAAATTACCTTCATTTTTTTTTTCCATTTTTACAATTTCTACTCTCTCTCTCTCTTTTTTTTAATACCAACCGATATCTGAAATTTTAATGCACCTGACTAATCCATATTCGAATTTGAGTCTCTTTTTCTCCCAAGGAGTTGCGACTCTCATAAGTCGAAGACATTACCTTTAGTCAGGTCGAATAGTAGAATCTAGCTTCTTGGTTGGTTTTCTTCTTTCGTTCTGAACCTCTATGCTTTTTGCTCTCTTTGCAATTGATTAGATTGATTTTCTCATTATTCTTTTGGCTTTCTCAGTCCCTGATATAGTGATGTAAAAACCATGTTTTTCTTCTTTGTTTCTCTCTCATAAGTGTCAAAAGACATTATGTTTTTAATGTTAAATATAGTTTAAATAATAATTAATATGATTAAGAATATAGTGTTAATTCATAAAATCTTAATAGATATTAAAAATGCCAACAACTAGATAAGGTTCTAATATTTTTTTTATTGTTTCAGGTTGTTTCATACTTGAAGGAACAAACCACTAATCTGATGGAAAAAGGCAGTTGGCATCGATTCTAACTATAAAAATGAAAATAAAAATAGGAAAATATAGATTTAATAAAGATTTGATCTTTCTCGCTGTGCAGCTTGCTTCAGCGAGCAAGGTGAGCGAGACATTCAATTAAGCTCGCTCTGCAGCTCGCTTCAGCGAGCTCAGAAGCGAGGGAAAGAATATGCTCGCTGAGCAGCTCATTAGCTGGCCCAAAAATAAAGGCCCAGTTTTCAGTCTTTAAATAGAACGAGACGAAGCCTAGTGAAAGACATTCGGAACACGGAAGAAATGAGAGACTCAGAGACGAAGGCAGAAGGCAGAAGACAAAGGAGAAATTCTGGAGCGTAATCGCAGAGGAGAAGAACGAAGATAATATCAAGGCTTCATCATTGATCATTATTAATCAAGTTTTATCATGAACTCTCTTTACTTTTCATCATTTGTTAATTCTGATTTCATGAACATGTTAAGCTAAATTTTTTATGTAGTTAAGGCGAGACGGAACCAATGGGTTCTTAAACGCTGTTTATCCTTTCTTGTAATTTATATTCATGATTTAAGTTATGCAATTAATCTGTTTCCTCATGACTAGTTTTGTGTATGAATTGATCACTTATAGATAAACACATGAATCTTGTATGATACTAGAGATGTTGGTGTATTCATTTCAATTGATTAATTGCTAGAGTTTGTATGATCCAGGGATAAGCTTACAAATTCTATAACTTTATGATTTTTGCGCTAATGCTTGGTTTAGGAAAAGGTACTAAAGGATTAGGCTTTTGAATGAAGTAAAGGATCAAATTACCAAGGGATTGAGATTTAATCAAATTTAGAAAGAATCGTTAATAACTTAATCTTGAATGTTAATTGTAAGAAAGGGTAGACTTGTTAGGAAAATATTGGGGAAGTCGAGTTACTAGCTATGTCTTTTAGTAAAAGTTAAAAACCAATTTCCTCACATTATTAATTCTTCAATTAATTTCTTAAATATTGAAAATTAAAAATAAGTTGTTTAAAAATTCTATTTTTAGAATTAATTCTCTCAAAAAAATCATTTAGGATAGATCCAACTTTAATTGCGTAGATAAATTAGTGATTGGTAATTATTAGTCCTCATGGGATCGACAACCTTACTTTATCACTTTATCACCTTATTACGTGTACGACTGGTGCACCTGCCGACGTCGCAACAAGTTTTTAGCGCCGTTACCGGGGACTGATTTAATCAACATTAACCGCATATCTATAAAATTATAGATTGGATCATTTGTTTTTATTGTCATTTTATTTTATTTTCTTTCTTTGTTATTTTAATATTTTTATCTTTATTAATTTTGTTTTGTTATTTTATTTTATTTATATTCCTTGTTGTGCTTTCCTAGTTTATTTTGTTTACTTTAAATTTTAAATTTTCTGTTAGTTAGTGATTTTCGTTAGTTGGGCCCACTTAGCCTTAGCTTTCTGGTTTATGCATCTGCGAGGCACTGTTAACCCCAGTGACTTACAGTACGAACCAGAGTTAGGATGAATAGAAAGAACTAATAGGAAGCGCACGATCATAAAGATGATATAAGACGCATCGAGTTCTAGTTTTGCTGAAGAACCAGTCATGGCCGAGGTTAATCAAAATCCACCGGAGGAATTGATGAACCATTTCCTAAACCCTAATTTCTCGCATCCAACTGCGAGTATTAGAAGACCATAAATTCTGGCTAATAACTTCGAAATAAAAGTCTTCTTTCCAAATTTAATTCAAAATAGTCAATTCGAAAGAGACCTGATTGAAGACCCAAATCGCCATATTACTAAATTCTTACAGTTGTGTAGTCTAATTAAAGCTAATGGGGTACCTTCTAAAGCAATACTACTGATACTTTTCCTTTTTTAAAAAGGGAGAGCACTTAATTGGCTAGAATTGCAACCTGCTGACAGTATCTCTACGTGAGAAGAATTAGTTGAAAAATTCCAAAAGAAGTTTTTCCCACTCTCTTGATTCTTTGAGCTGAAGGAACAGATTGACAACTTCAACAGCTCGAAGGAGAATCCTTGTGTGTGGGATGAGGGAGATTTAAAGAATTAATAAGGAGATATCCGCAGTACGTTCTATCAAATGGCGAGAAGGTGCGAATCTTTTACAAAGGGGTTATGCCAACATATAGAGTACTTCTTAATGCTGCAGCTGGAGGTAGTATCAGAGAAATTACCCCAACTAGAGCTGTGGAGTTAATTGAAAAGATGGCATCTGAAGATAACGAGGACACATCAGTTCAACCTAAGAGAGGAGTTATGCAGTTAGAATGATACGACACCATGTTAGCCAAGCAAGACAAGATGGACTAAAGGCTAGATTCACTTGTTAAACTTTTTACTCAAAATCAAATTTCCACAGTTAACTCTCAATTTCCTGTAGTTTGCGACACTTGTGGCGGACCACACAACCCTGAAAATTATGACACGACAATAACAATTGATCTAGCTCAGGTTAATGGAATTTGGAACAAGCAGAGGAGAGAAAATAATCCTTATGGTAATACATATAGCGCAAGTTGGACAAACCACCCAGGTCTTTCATATAAATCAAGGTCACACCAAACTAACATGAATTTTCAACCAGCACAACCTAGTCAGAAGGCAGGTTGGGAAGTTGCATTCTAAAAGATGTCTCAATCTCAAGCAAGTTTCATAGAAGAAGCGAGGGCATCTCTCAAGAATCAAGTGGATTCCATAAAGAATCTAGAGAATCAAATTGGTCATGTTGCTAGACAAATGGCTGAGAGGCCTCCAGGTACCTTTCCTAGTGATACTATCAGTAATTCGAAAGAGCAATGTAAAGCTATAACTACAAGAAGTGGAATAGTAACCACACATGGGGAGAAGAATATTGTTGCACCGAGCAATGAAAAAGATTCGAAAAATAAAAGCTTGTTGAAGAAAAAGATGATGACCCTGTTAATAAAGATGTGATTATTATTGGCGGACCATTAAATGATACCCTACGAAAAAAATAAAGAAGCTTTCTGTAGAAGAAAGAATGAAATCGCTTGGAAATAACCTGTATGTTAAAGCTCCATATCCTCAAAGGCTGAAACAATCAACACAAAAGCAGCAATATTCTAAATTCTTAAAAATGTTTAATAAGCTGCAAATAAATATTCTGTTCGTTGAAGCTTTAGAAAATATGCCTAGTTATGCTAAGTTTATGAAGAGCTTGCTTTCAAGGAAGCACAAGCTTAAAGAAGAAATGGAAACAATAGCTTTGACAGCGGAATGCAGTGCTACCATTCAGAAGAAAATACCACTGAAGCTCAAAGATCCTGCCAGTTTCAGCATATCATGCACTCTCGAGAATGTTCATGTGGGTAAAGCAATTTGTGAACTAGGGGCTAGCATCAATTTTATGCCACTTCCCTTTGCCAAATCTTTGGGAATCACTGAACTAAAGTCTACACTTTTGTCGCTGCAACTTGCAGACAGATCTATTAAGAAACCTGAAGGAGTGGTTGAAAATGTATTGGTAAAAGTAAATGATTACATTTTCCCTGCTGATTTTGTGGTTTTAGATATGGAAGCAGATAGTGAAGTACCTCTTCTTTTGGGAAGACCTTCCTTAGCCACAACTAGAGTCTTAATTGATGTTTAGTAGGGAGAGCTTCTATTTAGGGTCAATGGTGAGCAGTATACTGTCAATGATTTTGAAGCCATGAAATGCCCGGAAGAAAAAGGTGCCTGCTTTCAAATCGACGTCATCGGCGAAGTTGTAGCAGCAATTGCTGATGAGATTAATGCTGCACCAACAATAGAATAGTCATTTGCTAAGATTCTACAAACTTCTGATCCGCTAAATGAAGCTCTGTTAGAAGAAGTAGTTAAAGCGATTGATGATGTCTCCGACGATCATGAGCCTGAATCTTTGGACATCGAATTTAGGCAGGATAAGACAACTGCTATCGAGTCACATGAAGTTCCAAATCTAGAATTAAAAGAACTTCCACATACTTTAAAATACGTCTACCTTGGCAATAATGATATTTATTGTAAGAACCCACACCGTTAAATTAGGAATTGAAATAATTAAATTATGAGTTTAAGAAATAATTCCATAATTGATCTTGAATAAATATGGAAAGATTAGAATAATTATCGCATGGGTTTAATAACATTGAAAGTCGCTTTTCTGACGAAAAGTGTAGATACCGGTTCTGCTTCTTGGTATAATTGCGTACCGATGAAGTATCCCAAAAAATTATAATAAGTATGTGAATATTCCTAAAATGATATTTAGGTTAAGAATACCAAGTTTGGAGTCATAATAATGAGTTTTGATGTCAGAACTAATACTGACTGCGTATAAAACGCGTACCGGCAAAGTGCTACGAAAATTATAATAAAAATATAACAAATCCTAGAAAAATGGCTATGTTCATAATATTAAGTTTGAGATTAAAACAATAAGCAGAGCTATTAGAACTAATATAGGCGGATTAATTAAGTGGACATATAAATAGGAATGTTTCACACAACCCTAGGTCAGTTTCTGATCCCAAGGGTGATCCCCTCCATTACTGCCACCTTCCCCTCTGCTCAAGGCTTGAGCTTTTGCATGGAGCATGACCAAGAGTCTATTTTTAACCACATTGCTCCACTTCTAAGCCATTGAACCATCATCATTCCTTTTAAACACTTGAGAGCAGACTTGATCAGGGAGAACAATCACTTCTTATAAGGTTGTGAGGTTTGTTTGGAGGTGTGGAGCTGCTAACTTCATGGGTTGGTGGTGTGAAATTCATCTCATTTGCATTTGATGCTTCAAGAAGCCATTTTGTGGAGTAAAAAGCCTAGCTTGTGACCAAATTCGTGGCCTTGTTAAGTCAGAATTGTAGGCTGGTGTAGAAAGCTTCAAGACACTTCCTTTTTATGCTTTCATAAGACTTAAGGTAAACCATGATCATTTCCATTGAAATTTCATGAATATAGCTTGTTTGATTCCTTAAAAAGAGGAACTTTGATTGTTCAAGTTAAGGGTTGTTAATCTATGTTTAATTAGTGGTAATAAACTTCTGTTAGTTGAGAAATTGGACATAGAACCATTGGAGGACCCTTAAAATCGAGTTTGTGCAGAAACTACACGAGTTTCTGCATTCTGTCTAAAAAGTATTCAAATACTTTTCGAGAAGTATTGGGATACTTGCCTGGTATTCGAATACTTATCGAAAAATATTGTGATACTTTTCTGGGAATGGCATTATTCGAATACTTTAGTGAAAGTATTGAGATATTTGTTGGTATTCGAATACCTTAGTAAAAGTATTGGGATACTTTTGGTATTCGAATACTTTAGTGAAAGTATTGGGATACTTTCTAGTATTCCAATACCTTAGTAAAAGTATTGGGATACTTTTGGTATTCGAATACTTTAGTGAAAGTATTGAGATACTTGCTGGTATTCGAATACCTTAGTAAAAGTATTGGGATACTTTTGGTATTTGAATACTTTAGTGAAAGTATTGAGATACTTTTATGGGAACAAAAGTATTCGAATACTTATCGAGGAGTATTCGAATACTTTTGGCAGAATGAGCCTAAAAGCAATTTTAACAAGTTGGGAAGTCTTAAATACAATATAGGACCTGAATGAATCAGTGTGGGCTTGTCCTAGAGGTGTTCAAGTGATAAAAATGAAATAAACCATTATCAAGGCTTTGGGAGAAGCAGATAATCATTAAACAAAAAAGGAAATGTTGTCCTTATGCAATTAAACTCTAGACTATGAATATTAATGATATTTTTGACATAAACAGACTGTGCTTTTTCTATTTGGTGAACTGTGGATTGCTAATTGGACTTGTGACCTTGAGTACACTACTTGACAGGTAAGTTCCATGTTCTCGGGGTTGATCCCCATTTGTTCCACCATACTCCAAGAGGGGGATGATAGTTTTATATGGTATATGTGCTTATCTATTATTTGAGATGATGGAATAATGCCCTCTTATATATGTATGTTATGTGGTGTATTACACACAAGATGGCTAATATATGAGTGTAGTGTGGAGCTGCACAAGACTATATTCCCTGAGGGTGGGTATGAGGCAAGAGCCTTATACTTCTTATGTGTGTAGCATACGTGTGTAAATCATACCGTTCTCTGGCCAGTAGACTTGTTAGCACACATGCATGATATATATATGTTGCTGCATCATATGATTATGTTATTTTTGTTGAACTGTTATATTTGAACTCTTATACCGAAGTGAGATTGGGGCGGAGGAAACCTTTGAGAACCTTTGTTTACTGAGATTTCTTTTTAGAGATCTCACCCCGTGTAGGGCACATTTTCAGGTCTAGACGTCTATGAGATGGATGTTTCCCGAGGCAAGAGGCCGGAGAAGAATTGATTTATATGCATACTTTATTTATATCATTTGGACATGATTATTGTACCTAAGATATGACTATTATACTTATGTTATGTTTGTTGTGAGCATGGGGGTTGTCCATGCCTCTATTTTATTTAAGTTATTGTTGAACATGTATGTTTTGTATACGCCATAAGATATGGACGTTGGTCATGACTACACGATGTAGCTTCATGACTTAGTATTTATTTATGATATTGAGGCATTTCAGGATTTTAGTTGTGGTTTCGCAATTACATAAGGATATAGATGGATTTTATATTGCTATGTTAAAAAGGAAAAAGTAATATTGCATGCCCAATAACTAGTTTTATTTTAGCCTCCACATTTAATTGAGTTGCGCTTAATATTGTAATAAGATAACAATATGGGTATACACGGGGTGTTACACTTATCCATGTTAAACAGGAAGATGAAGATGAAGACCAAGAAAAGACTACAATCACTTTCCTGTTCGGTGTATTTGTATACCAAAGAATGCCATTTTGTCTTTGTAATGCATCAGCCACGTTTCAAAGGTGCATGCTCTCTATCTTCTCCAACATGGTTAAAAATATTATAGAAGTATTTATGGACGATTTCTTCGTGTTTGGTTCTTCATTCGACATCTGCTTATCGAATCTTTCTCACGTGCTCAAGCGATGCCTCGAGACCAATGTAATTCTTAATTAGGAGAAGTGTCATTTTATGGTAAAATAGGGAATAGTCCTAGGACACCGAGTTTCTGAGAAAAGAATTGAGGTTGATAAGGCTAATTTACTCATTATTGAGAAACTTCTTCCTTCTGTGAGTGTTAACGGAGTGAGGAGCTTTCTTGGACATGCTGAACTTTATAGAAGATTTATCAAAGGTTTCTCTAAGATAGCTAAGCCTCTTAGTCAACTATTAGTAAAAGGTGCTGAGTTCAATTTTAATGACGAATGTCTAAAGGTTTCAATGTACTGAACGAAAAACTCACTACTTCACCTGTATTAACCGCACCTGACTGGACACTTCCTTTCGAGCTTATGTGCGATACGAGTGATTACGCCGTAGAAGCAGTCCTAGGTCAGAGGAAAAGATGCTAGTTATAGTGTATACATTAGACAAATTCAGGTCTTATCTAATAGGGTCTAAAGTTATAGTATACACAGACCATGCTGCGCTTAAATATCTCTTGACAAAGCAAGATGCAAAGCCAAGACTTCTTCGCTGGATGCTCCTCTTGCAAGAATTTTCACTTGAGATTAAAGATAAGAAATGAGTAGAGAATTTGTTGCACATCATCTCTCCAGTATTCAAGATAAAGAGCTCCAAGATATTCCAGATCTCTTAATCAAAGAAGAGTTCCCTGACGAGCAACTATTGGCCATCAACAAGTTATTACCTTGGTTCGCTAATTTTGCAAATTATTTATCAATTGGGGCATTTCCCCTAGATCTCACATGGCAGGAAAAGAAGAAATTCAGGCATGATGTAACACGTTATTCATGGGATGATCCATATCTCTTCTTCTAATGTGCAGATGGAATTATTCGTTGTTGTGTTATAGAGGAAGGAGTTAGAGACATTTTATGGCACTGTCATGGATCTGAGTATAATGGACATTTTGCTAGAAATAGAACAGTCGCAAAGGTTCTTCAAAGCGGTTTTTATTGGCTCACATTATTCAAGGATGCTAGACAGTTCGTAGAGACTTGTGATAGTTGTCAACGCATGAGAAATATTTCCAGAAAGAATAAAATGCCATTAAACAATATTTTAGAAGTTAAAATTTTTTATGTTTGGGGCATTGACTTGATGGGACCCTTTTCCAAATCTTATCTAAATTCCTACATCTTGATAGCTGTTGATTATGTTTCTAAATGGGTAGAAGCAGTAGTTCTCCAAACTAATGATGCCAAGGTGGTAGTGAATTTCTTACGTAAAAATATTTTTCACAAGACTTGGGATCCAATCAACAAGAAGATAGTGACAAGCTGAGATGTGATCTTTCATGAGAACAAGGCTATTCAAGACATCTGAAAGACCAAAGTTCGGGTTTTTGTTCGTAGTGAAGAATATGTTCCTCCTATCCAAGCTGAAGAAGAGGGAGAAACAAATGATGAAAATGTTAAAAATGAACAAGTTGATGAGGACCGAGATGCTGAGGTCTGGGATGATGAGATCCAAGAAGAGTATGATGAGCCTGATTCTTAACCTGAAGAACAACCCAAACATTCTACACGAGCGAGATCACCTTCTACAAGGTATCCTCCTGATAAATATATTGTTGTTGCTGAAGAGGGAGAACCACAAAGTTATGATGAGGCCGTGACAAGCTCAGATAAGGAAAATGGAAAAAGGAAATGCAGGACGAGATGAAGTCTTTACATGAAAATCAGACTTATGAATTGACTAAGTTGCCTCA